AAATAAAGTTAAATCTGTTTTTATTGTCATTTCTGGAATAAAAACAGCTGATTTAAATAATAAAGTTCCTAAAAATTCAATGTTTTTCACCTTTTTTTTGTAGAAACAGAAGCCAAACCTTTGCTTAAAATAGTTGGAACAGAAGAGAAACCACATTCAGATTTGTCTCTTTCAAAACAAAATAAAAATAAAGTAAAAACACTAACGGAGCAGGAAATAAATAGAATCTTTTTGTTAATTATCTTCTTCACCAGCTGTGAATAAAGTTTTCTTCTTCAGTTCAAACAAAAACACTGAAGAATCTTTATCTTATAGAAGATTTAGTTCAAGTTGCAAAATAACTTTTTAACGAAACAGATCAAACAGGACGTTTCTCAGCACAAACTTTTACGTTTTCAGGCGTTTTGAAAAGTGAGACTTTCAAAATAAAGTGAAATTTCAGGAAACAGGAAGCTGTGAAACTGAAAAACGTACCTTTTTCCTGCCGTTGACTTAAAAAACAAAACAAAAACAAAGATGTGAAACTCCCAGAGCAAAGAGGAGCAGAGCTTCGTCTCTGAGGAGGAGGAGGAGGGTTAAAGTCCTGGTTTCCTGTCCCTCCACAAAGACTCCCAGGTCAGCTGGGTCAGCTGGTTCTGCCGCTGATCGTCCTCGGACCGGACCCGACTCAGAGCGAGGGCGTCGGCGCCTTTCTTCTCACACGTCCCGGTCTTCGTGTTGCAGGTGTACCCCTGAGGGCAGCAGTGCTCGTGGTCCGCGCAGCAGACCGCCTGAGGAGGAAGCAGACGAGGACATGAGACCCTCCTGCAGACACGGGACCGTTTCACTTTCGGGTCCACGCAGGAAGTGAGGACGTCAAACCTTCACCAGAGGGCAGCAGCCCCACCCTCCGCTCTGCAGCCTGCAGCAGGTCATCCCCGAAGCRCAGCTGCTTGTGTCGTCGCATTTAACGTCCGCCACGTGGCTCGGCTCGGTCCGAGCGCTCAGTTTGGAGAACCAGGGGATGGMGTGGGGAGCCCTGGAGCAGGAGGACCGGCGGGGGTCACAGGTGTGTCCTCGGGGGCAGCAGTGGTTTCCATCTTTACAGCAAACCGCCTGAAGAACAAGAAGCAGAAGACAAATAACAGAAGCAGAAGACAAATAAAAGAAGCAGAAGACAAATAAAAGAAGCAGAAGACAAATAAAAGAAGCAGAAGACAAAGAGGAACAAGAAGTTAAACAGGGAGCGACTCTGAAGTGAAAGCCATGCAGATGTGAAACACGTACATCTGGAATGGGGCAGCAGCCCCACCTCTGGCTCCTCTCCATGAAGCAGCAGGTCGTGTGTTTGGGGCAGCTGGTCTGAGAGTCGCACTGAACCCGACCGGAGACCATCAGGACCGGCTCAGTTCTCTGGACCAAAAAGTCACTTGGGACTATGGGTTTGGGTCCCCCTGAAGTCTGAGGCGGGACCTTGAAGAACCAGGGGAGTGAGAGACCRGACCGGTCATCGCAGGTCTGAGCCTCCAGGTTGCAGGTGGAGCCGTGGGGGCAGCAGTGGAGGTGATCATCACAACAAACAGCCTGCAGGGGTCAAAGGTCAACGCTGTGTCTTTATCTGCTGAGTCATTATTACCCTGTGAAGCATYCTTATAATGACTCAGCTGTTTTACTGTTTCTCCACTTCATCCATCCAACCAACATCCATCCATCCAACCAACAATCATCCATCAAACCAACATCCATCCATCCATCCAACCAACAATCATCCATCCAACCAACAATCATCCATCCAACCAACAATCATCCATCCATCCAACCAACAATCATCCATCCATCCAACCAACAATCATCCATCCATCCGACCAACAATCATCCATCCATCCGACCAACAATCATCCACCCAACCAACCATCTCCATCCAACCAACCATCATCCATCCAACCAACCGTCATCCATCCAACCAAAAGTAATCCATCCAACCAACAATCATCCATCCAACCAACAATCATCCATCCATTAATTCATCCATCCATCCAACCAACAATCATCCATTCATTAATTCATCCATCTATCCAACCAACAATCATCCATCCATTAGTTCATCCATTCATCCATCATCACTTGTTAGAATCACTTTGGACACCTCTCATGGAAATTACCATTGTTATCTTCTTGAAGGTCATAAAAGCACTTGGATCTGGTTTACCTGAGGGAGGGGACAGCAGCCCCAGCGTTCAGTCACCCCCTTGCAGCAGGTGGAGTTTTTGGGACAGAAAGTGGTCTCATCACACTTTGTGTTGTCAGGCAGCATAGGATAGACAGGTGTGTTGGGAAGCAGGTGTGTCAGGGCACTGCCTGAGGAATGGTCACACGTGGAGGCTGCCAGGTTACAGACCGTACCATGAGGACAACAGTGCAGGTGGTCCTCGCAGCATWCAGCCTGCAGGAGGAGCACATCATGACTCATCAGGATTAAAAGAGTAAATCTGTACAGCTGGACTCTGAGTCAGAACAGACCTCTGGTAGAGGACAACAGGCCCACTCTCCTCGTGTAGATTTACAGCAGGTGTTTCCGTCAGCGCAGACCACAGAATCGTTGCAGGGAACAGCACCAACTAAAAAAAAACTTTAGATTTCATCACATATGCTAACAACACAGATTCAACTCTAATTTTCTCTAAATTCAAACCAATTTGTCCCAGCTCAGGGTCACTAATTTAATTTCATCAGACAAATGTTACACATTTCTTTACAATGATCAATATATTTTCTAAATGACCTTTGACCCATTCACTGACCTGTACTGTGTGCAGTCACAGAGGAGAGCACCTTAACAAGCGAGGGGGCRTGTCCCTGTTCTGGCACACAGACGTCCTGTTTCAGGTCACACCTGGTGTTTACAGGGCAGCAGTGAATGTGATCCAAACAACAGACGGCCTAGAGGAGGACAAATTTAACTTTCATTCATTTATCCTCCAGAAAAACTTCTTTCATCAGTTTATAGAGTGAGTGAGTGAGTGAGTGAGTGAGTGAGTGAGTGAGTGAGTGAGTGAGTGAGTGAGTGAGTGAGTGAGTGA